TCTCTCTCTCTCTCTCTCTCTCTCTCTCTCTCTCTCTCTCTCTCTCTCTCTCTCTCTCTCTCTCTCTCTCTCTCTCTCTCTCTCTCTCTCGAGCTGTGGCTAATCTGGCACTCACTCTTGCTCATGCTCAGTGTCTGCCTGTCTTCCTTGTTAGCAATCTGAATATCGCGCTCCAATGTCAAGGCAGTGCAAGGCAGAATGAATGAGCCAAGTGGGGCAGGCCACTCTTTTCTGGTGTTGAGTCAGTTGCCTGCCTCCCTTTTTCCTCCCAGACTGGCTGAGATCTCCCGATGTGTGTCCCAGATTTGTTGGTGGCCAGTCTGTGCCTGGACCCAGTGGGCCTTGGAAGTTTCTGGAAAGTGCACTGATTCTTTGGACATGTCTGAAATTTGTGGCTGTGGTTGGCGTTTGAGAAATGTTTGACTTTTTGACTTCTGTGCCCGAGTTGGGCCTGACTGTTGACTTCCCGTGGGGCTACTTTCGACTCCAGAGCCCTGGATGCCTCCTTTTATCCTTGGACCCCAGGCCTACAGGCCTAAGGTCTTTCTTGCGCCCCTTCAGAGGCTGTGGGTGCAACTTCCGACCCTCAAACAACTCCTAGACTTGCTCTGTGCAAATTTTGACACCGGTGCTTTGTAGGTGTACCAGTAGGGTGCTAGGCATCTCTCTCTCAGCTGAACGAAAGCCTACTACTAACAATGACTGGATTAACCAGGAAGCCCAAATTAAGCTTCAATTATGGAAAGACAAACACACGTCTATTTTGGGACATACCCTGGCTATCAACAATGTTGTTCTTGCCTCAATCTGGTACAAATCAGCTATATGCGCACTGGATAAGGCTGCTCTTAAAGTCTTTCAAAGGCAATTATCAGCCTTCTTATGGAGGGTTAATCATGAATGTCAAAATGCAATTAGTAGAATTGCATGGAGGTCAGCGATCCAACCCAAGGCTTGTGGTGGACTAGGGATAATCGACCTAACAACACAGGCAAAGGCATTATCTATACAGTGGATTAAGAGATTTCTCTTCAACCCTTAGACTCCCTGGAGTGCTTTGGCCTGGGAACAAATCAAACGCCTAGCTCCCCTAACATACGAACGTGTAGACCCCATGTTTTGGCTGGTTAACCGGTCTTGGCCTATCCCTAGAAATCTCAGAGATAGAAAAGAAGGTAGATATCCTCTGAGAGACATGAGACTAGGATGGATCTGGGAGAAGACCCATTTTGGATTACCCTACTTAAAACATGGAGAGAACTACCCTAGCCCGTCGGAGATGGGAGGAGGTATGTGAACAGCCTCTTTTTAATAATAGATGGATCAGATACTCAAGGGGGTATACGCTCCACTGCACAGATTCACCGTGGAAAGGATGGATAAAAAGGGGTATTATCAGAATTAGTGACATCTGGAATCAGGATATAAAAGACAGGAAATCGGAGACAGATCTCCAACAACACCTTCGATATTGCCATCACCCGCAGGAAGCTCTGGAAAAAATCATAGAGCTAATACCATTGGAATCAGGGCTGGTCCCCGTTGGACCGGGGGCTCCTCCCCCGCCCGGGAGCCTGCCGGTCGGACCGGCCGGTCGACGGGCCCGGCAGACCCCCGGTCGAATCCAGCGCATTAGGCTGGACGGGGGATAGCGGGCAGTGACAGGCATCCCCACGCCTGCCCAGCCCCCACGAGGCCGCGGCCTCTGAAAAAAAAAACAAATTGGGACTTTTTGGGCCCCACTTCTAGAAAACAACGAGCGGAGGATCTCCGCCGCTTTTCTTTGCAGATCAGCGGCGAACAACCGCCGCCCGCGATTTCTCAAAATATGGGGGCCCACCAGGCCCCATATTTCGATTTGGCATAGTGTGGTCCGACAGACCACGGACCAGTTGTCATTGGCATGACATACTCGTCATCCTCAGCCACGAGGGAATTACTATGCAAGAGCACTGGCTCTCCTGAGGTTATAATACCGTTATATGCTTCTGCAACATCACTAAGCTCTGGGGAAAGAGTTATGGGTTTGGGTTTCGGCTCTGTCTGAGGTGCAAGCCCAAGAATGGACCTAAGCTATATTTTTCTGTCAATCTATCTAGAATGCAAGTGGCTCCACTACATGTATCTGGACAGACTAGCAGACGAGATACTTTCGGACTGAGGACACTGATGACCCAGCGTATTTAAAACAAAAAAAAACAAACAGAAAACGCTCTGCCTGCACGAGCTGAAACCTGCACCCATAACTTTTCGGCCGTCGACCTGTACTCTGGAAAAGCTACAAGTTTTGGCAAGCATCCACTCCTATTACATCTCATTCAGACTGCAGGACTCTGACGGCCGTTGGCATACTCCAGAGTGCCCTCTGCTACTGAATTGAAGTTCTTGGGCCACGGGGGGTCGAATAAGTAACATTGCTTACTCGACCCCTCCCCCTGAAAGTGACACCTCCGTGAATATCCCAATAGTATCCCCACCTCCCCCTGGGGCACCCCCCCCAAAAAATTGGACCTTCAAAATTTTATTACGGATTTCGACCGCTCTTGAAGAGCGCAGTCAGAATCCGCCAAATAAAATTAAAAACAAGAGAATTGGGCTTTATTTTTTGAAAACCGGTTTCCCGGTTCACCCCCCCCGGGCTGGTCCAGCTCCGGTTCAACCGGGCAAGCTGAACCGGCCGGTTGCCGGCCCAGCCCTGATTGAAATGGATCCGAATCCTTCGCAAAGGTCCCAAAATTGTAGCCAATGATTGGGTACTATGGGTAGCTATCAAAGGGCAACAAGGAGTAGTTGGTAATGTCATGCATTTATTCTCTAATGGGGACGTCTTACTGTCACTTTTTCATATCACCCAAGACCACATGCCTCTTTCCAACACACAGGAAGAGACCAGGTGGGTGACTAGGGATCAAATCTTCAGAATCAGGACTCTGAGGCTGAAGAACACATGGGTAGCTTTCAGACCAGACACCCCTATTTCGCAACTGGCCTTAGATCCAATCAACTGGAAATGATCTACAACTATGGAAAAAAATAGGAATTATGTTAGAAGCCTCCATACATTGTCAGTCAAATCTACATACTGAATGCTTCATGCCAGCATCAATTTGAAAGATAAAGTAATAACCAGATCGATGAATCATTTGGACGTCAGTAGAGAGAGTCTTAGGAAAATCAAATGGTTTAGTATTATGAAATCCAAACCTGGGAAAGTAGCCTCCCTTCAATGGCAAATTGAGCACAGATGTCTTCCCACTAATGATTGGTTAATTGATCGCTCATCCTTGGAACAAAAGGGCATTGCCCTTCCTTGGTGCAAGTTTTGTAACACAGCTTTCCCAGCCAAGACCATTCCTGAAACAATTGAACATATCTTTATGCAATGTCCGGGCGCCATATGGTTGTGGAGATGGTGGTACAGGATATGGCATCAGCTCAACCCCCATACTCCATGGACTTGGGATTGGAGAGCTATCCTGCTGGAATTCTGGACAGCTGAACCACATCATGACTTCACCCAGAATCTATTCACCATAGGGAGAAGAGCGGTCCTGTGGGCTATCTGGTTAACGAGGTGCAGATTTGAATGGGAAGGAGCAAGACTTGATGGGCAAGAATTTACAGAAACAATTAAACAGCAAATCCAAAACGATATCTCAATCAAATGGGAACAAACAAAAGAAAAAATGCAATTCTTACATTCAAAACCTGAAATCCTCAAAAATATCCAAGACTTCTGTCGTTGCTGGTTGGGGGGAACTCAAGGGGGAAAACTGGGACGAGTCAGATGGGATGGGGTACAGGGAGAAGATGATGTGGAAGTGTGCAAACTTGCAAAGATTATTCCCTGATTTTTGGAGATTGGACCAGGCTGTCATGATGCGCCCCCTAGCAGAATTTCCAGATCCTTTCCCCCCATCCCCATTGAACCTTGCCCCTAGATCCTGGTTTGGGTATGAGTGAATGAGTCAAGGATTGTCTGGATGTCTCATTAGTATGTCTCAGCACTAGTTTTAAAAGCAAGGTTTGGCGCCCGATAAAGCTGAAGAGGTGCTGGATTATTTCATTCAATTGATTCTCTCTATACAGATCAACCAAAGAATTATCAAAGATGTTCAAAGGGACGCTGGACCCGGTTTCCAACAGGTGCAGCTCCCCACCAATAGATGGAGTGATTCAAATTAGGATCTAATAGGAGGGGATGCTCTTATCACTTCCCCTATTAGATGCTACAGTCTTTCTCAGAAAAAGAGAAAAAAAGGTGTACCATTCAGCCACATGGACTGTGTAACAAGCAAGTAAACTATGTGATCTGGTTTTGAATCTTTCAGTCTTTGATGGTATCTGTGGAATCCACACACATATTGCATGGCCGTTTTGACAGGTGAACAATGGTGGATTCGTGGAAAAGACTCTTGATCGCTCGGTGCTATGGGAGGTGCAAACTCCCCAGGTACGTAAGTGACTGTTTCCCTTAAACTTGCCCTGTGTACATTCCCGTGATTGCAGAAAACTTTGGGAGGCCCGTTGGTGCAAGTTCTTTTCAGGGCCTCGGCGCAGCAGCAAAAGAAAGTTGCCCACGGCTGTTTGGATTTTCTTTGGTGCAGAGGGGAGGGGCCGTGCCATCGTCCACCCCTTTTTTTTGGTGGGAGGGAACCCCTATTTTTGGCCATGTGGTGCATGCTGTGTGCACACCTCGTGTGCAATGCGCAGTGCGGTGACTGTGTGCGGCTGGTGCGTACACGATACACCGCAAGTATGTTATGAAGGTATAGCCCTTGCAAGTCCTTGTTTTCATATGTATGCTGACAGTCAACATTGTACTCATGTATGCCACCCTGACATGGCATGTCCTGTTTGTAGCCAGGGGCTGGAACTCCAACACCTATACAATTGCAGTCAGTGTGCCTCTTGTTTCTAGCATGGAGCCACAGCCTGTGACATCTGTCTTCGCCGTGGCATTCGATGCCACAGTCTAGACCCGAACCGGTCCTGGTCGGTCTGTGGGTGTGCCCACTAACCATAGGCAACGCTAGCTCCGCAACTCAAAATTCGCTGCAATCCAGACGCTGACTGGGCTTTAGTGCCATTCTATAGTAGTCTGGTCTGGGGGTGAGTTCTTAGAATGCTGTGAAGTTTGTCTTTCCTCTGTTTTGAACTCCTCCTTCTCCCCCTTTCTTTCCTTCCTCCCTCCCCGTGTGTGGTATTGTAATGAACCCAGTCTCGTCATCCAATCATGTCACAGATAACAATGTTGTGCAGTGCCATGAGCTAATCAATCCAATAATTCCATGAGTTCGAAGTCGTTGAAGTACAGGTTTCCTCATTACCACGTGTATGCCTCAAGTCCACAGTACCCAGAAAAGAGAGGAGGGAAGAATAGACAGTTGGAAGGAGAAATATAAGTCCCTCTTCTCCTTCAGGCTCCCCACCTCTTCCACGTCAGCAACATGCACTCGATGTGCCACACCAGTAGTATGCACTCAATGTGCCGCCCCAGCAACATGCACTCAATGTGCCATGTCAGCAATATGCACTTCAATGTGCCACGCCAGCAATACGCACTCAATGTGCCACGTCAGCAATATGCACTTCAATGTGCCATGTCAGCACTCCGTGTAACACGTGGATGATGTGGAAGCAGCTTCTCGCAGGTAAACGATCCTCCAACAGCGATCAGAATCGGCAGCGGCTTCACATCTGAAGAAACCAGGTACGTACGCACGACGACTCACATCACCCACTCTCTCTCTCTCTCTCTCTTCTCCTCATTCCCTCGCCGTCACCTATGGTCGTGGTCTTGGCCGTCCTCTCCCTATCTCACTACTATGATATCTGGCTGGTGCCCATCCAGCAGTCTGGCGCTGCACCTCCTCTCCAGTGTCACGCGCAGCGTCGTAGCCGCAAGCAACTCGCAAGACTGAATGCTCAAGCAGTGGCGAGGTCAACCTTTTGTAGCATTGACTCGCACTGTTCAGCGTCAGCATCGGTCCATGTGAGGGCCCGGATCATCCGATCAGTCCCAGTTTCGGTCTGGACTCTGGACTCCTCTAGGCCGGAATCTTCCGGAACCTGCAGACAATTGTTAGATCATTCCAGATCAACGGCCAGGAAATCTTTGTTCTCAGCTTTGACTTCTCGGATTTGGGCCTGGGTCCACGAGTTGACTGTTGACTTTTCGGTCAACTGCCGGCCTGGGCCCTTTTCAAGGGCCTCTTTGAGCCTTCTTTAGAAGGCCTGCCCGTTTGTACCTGTCTGTGGGCACGTCGGAAGCCCAGCGGCTCCATTTGGCACACGAGTTACAGCATATTATCCTGCCCAATGTCGAGTTCCATCGCAGAAATTTCATTTCAGGCAGCCATATATAACACATATGTGTTCTGTTCCGGTCATCATTTTTTTTCGAAAACTCGAATACAACGCACATGCGTTATGTTCTGCAATGAACCACTTGTATTCACACTCCAATCACATGCACCATGAGAGTTCACACAGAATTCCAAACCGAAGTCCAGAGATGGAGAGACCAGATTAGCGCAGCTTGGAAAACCTCAATGAACGATCATATTAAACAAAAATTAGAGTTTGTGTCACATAGCGCTCAACAGCACAATACCCAGCAGCTTCAATCAGGTATGTTTCTGGTTCATCCTTCCCCCCCCCCCT